AGTCACTCCAGTTCAGTCCTCTCCCTTCCCTTCCCTTCCCTTCCCTTCCCCTCCCCTCCATCCCATCCCTCAATCCCATCCCATCCCTTCCTTTCCCAGTTATCCCTTCCTGCAGATCTCCAGCCTGTCCCCAAGCCCCCAGCCCGTCCCACCTGGGCCGCACCTGAGCTCACCGGGACCCTTCCCGCCAAGGCGCTGGCCCGGAGCTCCCGCTGGAACGCCGGGATCCGCCCGGGACCTGTCCGAGCTCCAGCACCGCGGCCGAGAGGAACCAGAGATGTCACCAGGGGGGACACCAGGTCTTCGTGTGAGTGTGATGTCCTGTCCTCAGCGGGGGCTGTTCTGGGGACAACACCCAAATCATGGAACCGTAAAATCATGGAATGGCTCGGGTGGGAAGGGACCTTAAATCCCATCCTGTCCCACCCCCTGCCATGGGTACGGACATCTTTTGTTATCCCAGGTTGCTCCAAGCCCTGTCCAGCCTTTCCTTGGACACTTCCAGGGGTCCAGGGGCAGCCACAGCTTCTCTGGGAATTCCAGCCCAGCCCAACTCCACTCACCTGGCCAGGAATTCCTTCCCAATATCCCATCCAAATCTCCCCTTTCCCAGCGGGAAGCCATTCCCTGTGTCCCTCCATCCCTTGTCCCAGGTCCTCTCCAGCTCTCCTGGAGCCCCTCTCGGGGGGTGGAGGACAAGGAAGTGCTCCAGATGGTGGGAATCCAGGGAATCCAGAGGACAGAGTTTCCAAAAATAAGGAGGCAGAAGGACACGATCCCAAACAATGTGATGCCATTTCAGTCTGGGGTTGGCTCTGGAAGCTCCTCCTGGTGCATCCTGAAGCTGCTCAGGGTCAGGAAAGCCTTTTTGGGGTCTTTGGGAAGTCCTGGTGGTTCACCCAGGGCTTGTCATCAATCCGTGACCCCTGGTGGCTTTTTGTGCAAAAACGGTGAAGAACCTGGCGCGAGCAAAGGAAAAGAGGATTTTGATGGAAGACTGTTGGGATTTTAGGAAAGACACCGGGATGGAGTGATGGGAGATCCTACAGGTCAATGATTATCCGGTAATTATTGGTGATCCCGTCTCGATGGGAGATGATGGAGCACGTGGAGACCTCCAGCATCCCTTTGGATCTCCCAAGCCTTGCGTTTTTAGCAGATCCATGGGTTCATCTCCATGAGGAGGATCCACAGTGCAAACCAGCGATCCCAAATCCTCGTGACCAGAGAAAGGACCAGGGACGAAGGATGAGACACCAGGAAAACACTGGAATGTTTGGATTGGATTGGAATTAGTATCAGGAAAAGGCTTGTCCAAGCCCTGGCACAGCTGCCCAGTGGTGGAGTCCCCATTCCTGACGGGATTTAAAAATCCACGTGGATGTGGCACGTGGATCCGTGGTGGCCGTGGCAGAGATGTGGGAATGATTTGGCTCGATGTTCTTGGAGAGCTTTTCCAACCTTAACGATTCCATGATTCCATGAATGAGGCCTAAGGAAAGCACAAGTGGGAAGCAGAACATAAACACATCCTGGCCACAAAAACACCAGGATCAGGCTGGAAAATCCCAGGGAATTCCTGCAGGGATGGGATCTCCCAGGGACGGTTACTGGGGCCATACTGGTGGAGGATACTGGGACAGGCGGGGATGTGCCAAATCCCATCCTGGCTGCATCCAGGAAAATGAAAAACTGTGGAAGAGGAAGGGGTTAGGAGGGAAAGAATCTCCAGACACTGCTGCTGAGGTAAATTATCCCTGAGGGATGCACCTGGATTAGGGGCAGTTTTCTGGGGGATTTTTTTTTGGTATCAGAGAGAGACAAATCCTATCGTAATTCCTTCAGTGACCTCTCCCAGACTTCTGTGAACTCCAGCAGGCTCTTCCCAAAGTAAACATCCCAATTTTGGATCCAGCTCCCGCTGGGCTTCGCCAGGCCACATTTGCAGGATGTCAGGAAGGGACGGAAAAAGGGAAAACGTTTTGATTGATGATTATTTTCCCTGTAATGAGGTCACGAGCGGGAATAATCTTCCCATTCAATCCAGATTTGGAATGGCACTTGAGGTATCAAATGCCACAAAAACCCCAAGGATTGGCCGAGCACTTAAATACGTTTAGAGTCTGAATTCTCTGAGTTCATCTGAAATCTCTAAATTAGTCTGATTCTTATCGTTTCTCTCTCATGCAGCCCCTCCTCTGTTTGAGGCTCAGCCCTGGCACATTCCTTCATCCAACCAAGGATCCGACACGGAATAAGGGAGGATCCAGGGTATCCTTCATCTAAGCAGAAGAGAAATTTATCCGCCTCCCACTGGGGAAACGACAGGAAAGTTCCTGCTGGGTTTGGGATCTGAACCTGTTTCCCCGTAGCTGGTGCTGCATTCCCTTTTCCTCCCGGATACATCTGGAATTCCCAGAATTTTCCCCATGGAGATGCTTCCTTAGATCCTTGCCAGAGCTGCTGGCCCTCATGGGAGGTTGCCTGTGGATAGTTTGGACATCCTGGGGCACATCCCACAGAAAACCTGGAGACAGAATTCCTTTCTGGGGTTAAAGCAATTCCATCTTTCCCACTTAGCGAGAAGGAAATCAAATCCCACGCTCCGGCTTTGCGCCTGGATCCGCGAGGAGCTGGAATTCGTCGTTTACGAGACTGGGAGTCCCCTGCCCTCCCTCTCATTGGTCTTTCCTGCGGTTTTCCCAGAATTCCCAGCAGAATTCCCAGAAAATGGAACAAAGAGCAGTTTTTGAGGATCAGGGGATTGAAAGCACGAAAGGACTTTAATCCATCCCAGAGCGCTGGCACAAAACAGAACCTTTCCACGCTTCGGGAAGCGCAGGAATCTTCAGCATCTCCGGACAAAAATCACATTTCAGAGGAAATTCCAACCAACCAATCACGGAGCCACGGAATTATTAAGGATGGAAAAGACCTTTTAGATCCCCAAATCCAGCACCACGCCCGTATCCCTTAAACCACGCCCACAGGCTTTCCAGGAATGGCGATTCCATTTGGTGGAATGAAGATTCCATTTTTTCCATGAAGAAATTGCTCCCAATATCCCACCTCATCCTCCCCTGCTGCAACTCGAGGCCGTTTCCATGTGGATTGGGAGGAAACTTTATGCAGGATTACATAAAATTACCCAGGAGAACAGAATGACGGATTTTGATTAGGAAAGTGAAATTTTGGGAATTTAAAGTGAGGTGGAGCAAACCAAAACATTCCCTGGAATTTCAAATCTCTCCTCACCAGCCTTTATTTTTACTTTTTTACGTAGGAAACCAAGTTCAACCAATCACTCCGTGGGTGCTTCCTTGGCTTCCTAAATCCAAATTTTTTTTTGGGTTAGAGGGTTAGATCCACATCCCAAACATGGAAATTATGCCAGTGGTTTATCTTTTCCCAGCAATTTTCCCTGGAATTGTACAATTCCCAGGATCTGAGTGGGTGAGTCTTGGACAGGCTCTGCGCCTTTGCTGCATCTTAAGCGCTCACTGCGCATTTTAAAGCTTAAACCTTCTCTGATTTATAATTTTTTTTTTTTTTTTTTTTGGTATTTATGATGCTGTAAAATAATAAAAAGAAATGTCCAGGAAGGTGTCGAGCCAAGCCAATTATCCTTGGAATACCATCAGACCTACAGAAACCCTGTTAATCAGAATAAAATCAGATGTGCTTACACTGTCTGTAAACATATTTTACATCATTCCTGAGGTCAGGAAATGGGCTGGAATTCCAAATGGAGAGGAAATAAAAAATCTCCATCAGCTGCCTGGGGGCCAAACACATCTCCCTGAGTGCCTGGGGCTGCAGATGGTCTGAGCCCCACTCCAGGGCGCATTCCCAGATAAGGAATTCCCAAACTGCAGGGTTGTGCCTTTGGAGACGCGTGTTTCCCTGCCCCGCTTGGCGTTTCCAGGTCCTGCTCGACTGGAATCGGCCCCAGCCTGGGATTAAAGGCGCCTCTCCAAGCCCAGGGGCCGCTGAATCAGCTCCAGCCCCGCTCAGATGTGGGGAAGGAACCTCTGACCCCACCTTTGCTACCCCAAAACTCCACCCGCACTTCCCTGGTGCTCCTTGCCCCGGGGGAATGCCGGGGTTTGGAACTCGGGAGCCAAACCAGAAGTTTTCCTGATTGTTCTGAGCTGAAGAAGGAATTTAGGGAAAGAAAAACGTGTAACTTCGGTGGGTGGGAGGATTTTTGGGAACGCCCAGCTGGTGTGGAGAGGTGGGAGATGTTCTCTCTTCTTCCACGGGTAGGTTTGTGATCCACCAGAATCCAGGGATTGACCAGGAAGGGCTGGAATTCCCAGATTTGGGAGCTGGTGGCATCAGCGAGGCCCTGGCAAACAGCAACAACCAAACAGCTGCCAATTCCCCAAACCAGAGCCGGGGAAATCCCCGCCTCCAGAAGCTCACGGCAGTTCTAGAAGTCACTGGATTTCCACAGAAGAATCCCGAGCCGGTTTTATAGGATTGCTGCGGAATTTGGGATGCACGAGACTGCAGGAGACCTCTGGTCCAGCCTCCTGCTCTGGGATCAGGCAAATCCTCCCGAGTGATTCCATAATTCTGTGAATCTGCAATTCCATTATTCTGGGAGTCTGTGATTCCGTGATTCTCTGATTCTATGATTCTCTTTATCTGCAATTCCATGATTTTGGGATTCTGGGAGTCAGTGATTCCATGATTCTCTGATTCTGTGATTCTGTGATTCCATGATTCTGTGGTTCCATGATTCTGTGAATTTGCAATTCCATGATTCTGTAATTCCACGATTCTGTGACACTGTGATTCCATAATTCTCTGTTTCTGTGATTCCATGATTCTGTAAATCTCCAATTCCATGATTCTGGGATTCTGTGACTCTGTAATTAATTCCATCATTCTCTGATTCTGTGACTCTGTGATTCCATAATTCTGTAATTCCATGATTCTGTGACACTGTGATTCCATAATTCTCTGTTTCTGTGACTCTGTAATTCCATGATTCTCTGATTCTGTTGAAATCTGCAGCTCCGTGATTCTGTGATTCTGGGATTCCATGATCCTGTAAATCTCCAATTCCACGATTCTGGGGTTCTGGAAGCCTGTGATTCCACGATGATTCTGTGGTTCTGTGACTGACCCTGCATTTCTGTGACCCTGTGTGTCCGATACTCTGTGATTCCAGGATTTCTCTGGGATTCCTGTGATTCTGGGAGTCTGTGAATCCGTGACTTTGTGATTCCATTAATTCGTGGCTCTGTGATTGAGTCAGATTCTCTGTAACTCCGTGATTCCAGAACCTGTGACTCTCTGACACTGGGATTCCGGGATTCCATGATTCCATCTCTGGGATTCCGGGATTCCATGATTCCATCTCTGGGGTTCTGGGATTCCATCTCTGGGATTCCATGATTCCATCTCTGGGATTCCATGATTCCATCTCTGGGATTCCATGATTCCATGACCAGGATTCCGTGATTCCATGATTCCATCTCTGGGATTCTGAAATTCTGGGATTCCACCATTCCGTGGTTCTGACTTTGTGATTCCACAACTCCATTCTGCGATTCTGTGACTCGCTGACTCTGTGATTTAATCATTCTGTGATTCCCGGATTGATTCCCTGATTCCCCGATTGATTCCCTGATTGATTCCTTGATTGATTCCCTAAATGATTCCTTGATTGATTCCATGATTGATTCCCTGATGGATTCCATGATTGATTCCCTGATGGATTCCATGATTGATTCCCTGATGGATTCCATGATTGATTCCCTGATTCCCTGATTGATTCCTTGATTGATTCCCTAAATGATTCCTTGATTGATTCCATGATTGATTCCCTGATGGATTCCATGATTGATTCCCTGATTCCCTGATTGATTCCCTGATTCCCTGATTGATTCCTTGATTGATTCAGATTGATTTCTTGATTGATTCCCTGATTCCCTGACTGATTCCTTGATCGATTCACTGATTGATTCCCTGATTGATTCCCTGATTCCTTGATTGATTCCCTGATTGATTCCTTGATCGATTCACTGATTGATTCCCTGATTGATTCCCTGATTCCTTGATTGATTCCCTGATTGATTCCTTGATTGATTCCTTGATTGATTCCCTGATTGATTCCTTGATTGATTCCCTGATTCCCTGATTGATTCCCTGATTGATTCCCTGATTGATTCCCTGATTCCCTGATTCCTTGATTGATTCCCTGATTGATTCCTTGATTGATTCCTTGATTGATTCCCTGATTGATTCCTTGATTGATTCCCTGATTGCCTGATTGATTCCCTGATTGATTCCCTGATTGATTCCCTGATTGATTCCCTGATTGATTCCCTGATTGACTGATTCCTTGATTGATTCCCTGATTGATTCCTTGATTGATTCCTTGATTGATTCCCTGATTGATTCCTTGATTGATTCCCTGATTGCTTCCTTGATTGATTCCTTGATTGATTCCCTGATTCCCTGATTGATTCCCTGACTGTTTCCCTGATTCCCTGATTGATTCCCTGACTGTTTCCCTGATCGATTCCTTGATTGACTCCCTGATCGATTCCCTGATGGATTCCCTGATCCAGGCACTCTGCATTCACCTGACACCGCAGTTTTCCAGAAACACCGCCCGACCGAGCATCTCAATGAGGGCGGCACGGGCAGAGACACCGGGGGACCCCAAAACCCAAGTTTTACCCTCAAAATCCCTCCAAAACCTGGGCTTTCCCCCTAAAACCTCCCAAAACATGGAGTTTCCCCCAAAAAAAACCCAAAACCTGGGTTTTTCCCCCCAAACCCCAGGGTTTCCAACCAAAACCCCCAAAACCCAGGTTTTCCACCCCAAAAACCCCCCAAAACCCATTTTTTTCCCCAAACTCCCCCAAACCCGGTTTTCCCCCCTAAAACCCCTCCAAAGCCCGGGCTTTACTCCCCCAAACCCCTCAAAACCCAGGTTTTCCACCCCAAAAACCCCCAAACCCCCACAAAACCCAGCAGTTCCCCCCCAAAACCCAGGTTTTCCACCCCAAAACACGGGGTTTACCCCTAAAACCCCCCCAAAACCCGTGCTTTACCCCCCAAAAATCGGGGTTCCCCCCCGAAAAACCCAAAAATCCGGGTTTCCCCCCCAAAAACCTGGGAGTTCCCCCCAAAACCCAAGTTTTCCACCCCCAAAACCCGTGTTTTACCCCCCAAAACCTGGGTTTCCCCCCCAAAACCCGAGTTTTCCTCCCACCAAAACCCGGGAGTTCCCCACCAA